AAAGTGGGATCCCTTTGACTGGGAAGGAAAGGTCTTTGCTTTGGCTTATCGCTTCATACCTCAAATACCCATTCCCTCCTTCCTACCTGCCTCACTCATTTAAACAAGCCCTTGGTGAGTCCACCTTCCCTAATAAACATGGGCTCCTCACCATGGCAGGGTTGTGTATGTCTCATTTCAGGGCCTTAGAACCCACTTTGGAGATAAAGCAGTGATCCCTGTTCACCTTGGCCATCGGATTCTGTAAGGGGGAAGGCCAAGGGTCAAGAAGGAGACAGAAAAGTTAAGAGGGCCTCAGAAGGAAAGACAGAGATACAAGAATTCAAAATTCTTCAGAGGATACTGGAGTCTCACCTTGGGGAATAGAAATTGAAGTTTCTCCCCTTGCTTGCCCCCAGAAAAAACACTGATGATAAACAGGACCTAGGCTCTTTAATGCCCATCTCTCTCCCCGTTGCATATTTCACAAATGGATCATGGAGCAGTTTCCTTCTGATTCCAGGCAGGACCTACGAAGTCTTCTCATAGTGCTCAGCTCCTGCTGCAGTTTCCGTATCTACTCCTTCCCTGTCTGCCTCTCTGCCAGACAGCATGGACAGGGCTCCGTCCTCACACACCTCACCCCAGTGGTTTTGGTGGGCAAAACTGCCTTGCCATCTTTCAGGCATGGTTCTTAAGGGTGGAGTCTGCTAATGTGCTCCATATTTTGGGTCATCGCATCCTGGGTAATGCCATCCTTCTAGAACAGACCTACAGGATGAAAGGCTTGGGCAAGGTGGCACTTGGGACACTCCAACTGACCCACTCCAGAGGCCAGAGTGACCTTTCCCTCAAGTCCATATAGGATCATCACATGTTGTAAAGAGAATTTAATGAGATGGTCTATAAAAATTGTTTAGTGCAGTGGCTGCATGTAATGTCAATTAGGATTATGATCACAGTCACTTTGCTGAGTCATTCGAGGCTATTGTGAGGATCCAGTGAGGTCAGGGATGTAGAGAGTGCTTGGAAGACCCTAAGGCAGTGATTCTCAAACTTTAGCGTGCATCAGAATCTCTTGCGAGGCTTGCTAAAACACAGACCATTGGACCAGCCTGTGGCCCAGTGATTAAGGCAGCTGGATCCTACATGGCCAACTTCACAGTTCAAGTCCCAGACCTGGCAGCTTGAAAATCACACCAGCTACATGTATACATGTGCCCAAAATCTTGAAAGGAATGGAGGAGAGGACATTGTGGCATGGCTTTGCACCCTTGGGGTGGGTGATTTCTCATTTTTTCTCCCTTTCTTTGTCTCTCTCTCTGGTGATCAAACGTACCCTATAGCAAACTAAAAAACAAACAAACAAATAAAACACCACATAGATGGCTGACTGGCCACTCCATGATGCTGAATCCATATTGGGAAGGTCCCGGGTTCGCATCCTGAAGTCTCTTCTACACACTGGGTATGTGTGTCATGTGCCTGTGATCCTGCGTGGCTGAGGCTGAGTGTAAGGTTGAGGTGTACCTCTCTCTCTCTCTCTCATTCTCTCTGTGTATGTTTCTCCTTCTCCCCCCTCTCATGGAAGAAATAAACTTAAAACACACACACACACACACACACACACACACACACTCACACACACAACGCTGCTCCCCCCACCTCTAGAATTTCTGATGCAGTAAATCTGGTGACACCCAAAAATTAGCATTTCCAAAGAATTCCCTGGTGATAATGCTGCTGCTGGTTTGGGATACACTTTGAGAATCACCACTCCCAGGCACGATACAGTACACATTAGTAGCAGGAATCTGAACTTAAGGCAGATTTCCTGTCTGCTTCCCCTCATTCAGAAATCTCTGCTCTAAGGGGAGGTCAGCAGCTTTTTCCAGTGGGCTCGCCACTCCCTTTCATTTCTGCCCTGTCTGTCATAGTTTCCCATGCTCCCTACTCTGAGGCTGAGGAGGATGCGTGTGAGTTTGTGCGTGTGCGTGTGTGTGTTCTTGTGGCTGAGCACAGTTCTTGAGGTCTCACCCTGTCCTCCATGAGCTGAGCGTGACAACACAGTCTCATGAAGAGACATATGGAAAAGAGAAAGCCTGTGGTCAGGTCAGATAGCCGCTGGCTGTCCCCCACATCTGACCAGGCCCCACTGTGTTCTCTAGCTTTACTCACCTGGGGGTGTAAACGGCTGGAGCACAGCTTCTAAGTGCAGGAAGACTGGGTAGTAAGTCCTTGGAGGGGCCAGAGCTGTTCCACTCCCAGTTGACCCTGACCATTTAAGGGTAAAGCAGTGGGGTCAGGAGCTTAGTCAGAAACCACTGGCACTCCTTGGGACCAGCAGTTAGTGTAATGGCTATTTCGCTAGACTCCCACGTAGTCAACCGTGGTTCGAGTCCTGGACCCGGTGGCTTAAACTCATGCCGGGCGCGCGTGCGTGCGTGCTCAAGACCCAAGAGGAGAATGGAGGAGAAGGGATTGCGGCGTGGCCATCCCCCCTAGGGGTGATTTCTCGCTTTCTGTCTCTCTCTGTCTTTCTGGCGAGTGCACGCGCCCTATAGCAAAAAAAAAGAAAAGAAAAGAAAAGAAAAGAAACCACTGCACTCCTGGATCCCCTGGTTCCTCTTCTCCCCACCAAGTCTCCTTCCTCTTTCTTTTTTTTTTTTTTTTGGAGAGAGATTTTAGGTATAGGGCGTGAGTTTCTGTGTCCAGGGTTCAAACCTCAGTTGGTCTGTGGGAGTCCATCGACATGACGTAACCATCAGCCATCTGCTGGTCCTGCCTCCTCTCCCTTTCAAGTCCTCCTTTCATTTTCCCTTCCCCCATTCCGCCTTTCCTGGTCTTCAACCCCTAGGCTTCCTTCTTTCTTGGTACCAGCTTCCAGGTAACAACTAAACTCACAGGAAAGAGCAGCCGGCGGAAGCTCACGTGACAGGTTGAGAAAGTTGCCCTCGGAAATGGACAACCTGAGTGAAGGCGGGCTCCGGAGGCAGGCACCGCACGTCAGGGAAGCCTTGGACGTCTGGGGGAGATAGAGGCCTGGGGACCTTAGAAAGTATGGGTATGTATAGAATGCGAGTATCTGGCTTCTGTTCCTGAAAGCTAGTTTGCTTGACTGTGCAGAGGAAACACATGGGTGGTGAGGGTATCTCCTAATGCCCGCACCCATTCTTCTAGGTAGATGGATAGATGGCTGGAGGACAGTATTTGTTTGTTTGTTTATTACTGTCGTTGTTGTTGTTTTGAGAGTTTTTTTGCTATAGGTCACGTGCACTCGCCAGAAAGACAGAGAGACACAGAGAGACAGAAAGTGAGAGATCACCCCCCAGGGGGGATGGCCACACCGCAATCCCTTTTCCTCCATTCTCCTCTTGGGATCTTGGGCATGCACTCACACGTGCCCGGCGTGAATTTAAAGCACCATGTCAGGGACCTGAACCACGGTCGACTACATGGGAGTCCAATGACATAGCCATTATGCTAACTGCTGGTCCCACTGTTTTTGTTTTTTCCTGTAGTGGAATTACCGTGAGTTATTCCAGACAGGTATTAAGGGAATTCTCCCCAGTCAAATGGATCCTACTAACAATCTCCTGGCTTTAGGAAGAAGCGGAACTCCCAGCACTCTACTGAGACGGGAAAGAGCTTCCTGAAGGAGAGCTGGTTCTTTGCGGGGCGCCCCCAGGACTGGTAGGAAAGGTGCCCATCAGCTGTCACTGAGCGCTGGCGCTGTCCGTGGTGCTGAGAGGTGACCGAGGCCGGAGTCGGGGTAGAGGACGAGGCGTCTCCACCGAACTTGGCTGTCCTTATCCCCCGCCCACCATTCGGCACCGGGACTCCTACAGTTCTTCGCGAATTCTCTGCATCCGCCTCCAAACTCAAGAATCCGGTGGTCAGGTAACAACTAAACTCACAGGAAAGAGCAGCCGGCGGAAGCTCACGTGACAGGTTGAGAAAGTTGCCCTCGGAAATGGACAACCTGAGGGAAGGCGGGCTCCGGAGGCAGGCACCGCACGTCAGGGAAGCCTTGGACGTCTGGGGGAGATAGAGGCCTGGGGACCTTAGAAAGTATGGGTATGTATAGAATGCGAGTATCTGGCTTCTGTTCCTGAAAGCTAGTTTGCTTGACTGTGCAGAGGAAACACATGGGTGGTGAGGGTATCTCCTAATGCCCGCACCCATTCTTCTAGGTAGATGGATAGATGGCTGGAGGACAGTATTTGTTTGTTTGTTTATTACTGTCGTTGTTGTTGTTTTGAGAGTTTTTTTGCTATAGGTCACGTGCACTCGCCAGAAAGACAGAGAGACACAGAGAGACAGAAAGTGAGAGATCACCCCCCAGGGGGGATGGCCACACCGCAATCCCTTTTCCTCCATTCTCCTCTTGGGATCTTGGGCATGCACTCACACGTGCCCGGCGTGAATTTAAAGCACCATGTCAGGGACCTGAACCACGGTCGACTACATGGGAGTCCAATGACATAGCCATTATGCTAACTGCTGGTCCCACTGTTTTTGTTTTTTCCTGTAGTGGAATTACCGTGAGTTATTCCAGACAGGTATTAAGGGAATTCTCCCCAGTCAAATGGATCCTACTAACAATCTCCTGGCTTTAGGAAGAAGCGGAACTCCCAGCACTCTACTGAGACGGGAAAGAGCTTCCTGAAGGAGAGCTGGTTCTTTGCGGGGCGCCCCCAGGACTGGTAGGAAAGGTGCCCATCAGCTGTCACTGAGCGCTGGCGCTGTCCGTGGTGCTGAGAGGTGACCGAGGCCGGAGTCGGGGTAGAGGACGAGGCGTCTCCACCGAACTTGGCTGTCCTTATCCCCCGCCCACCATTCGGCACCGGGACTCCTACAGTTCTTCGCGAATTCTCTGCATCCGCCTCCAAACTCAAGAATCCGGTGGTGAGTGTGGACGTCAGACCAGGAGTTTGCGCCCTCTGCCCCGAGCTCTCGGTGCAGGAATTCTTGAGTCTGCGCAGTCAGCCTCCCCTCCGTCTGCTGCGAAGTGAGTCAGTTCTGGTTGGCGCAGAGGGAAGCGGGAGGAGGGATGGCCCCTTTACCGCTCCATCCTCTTTTATCCTAGCCTAGCCTTCCTCATCTTCCTGGAGATCAGACCACAGCTCCTAGGCTCTGTGGGCTTTTGAAAAAACCTCGGCTTGGCTCTCGACCTGGGCTTCTCCCCTGGAGCCAGGACCCCCATACCCACCGACTAGAGCCTCTGGATCCTGCTACCCCACAGCTCTGTCCACTGCTACCCTGGCTCCCCTTCAGGTCTAGCTTCTCCTGGGGCCGCTTTCTGCCCATTTGTCTTTCTGACTTCCCGAGTCCCCAATCTTCTAAGTTCCATCCGGACCCCGATGCCCAATCTCATCCCAAGTCTGTTTCTCTTTCTGCCAGATGTTTTCTAACATTATCTCTCCTTTTTTTTGGAGAGGTTTTTGCTATAGGGCGCGGGCGCTCACCAGAGAGATGGAGAGACAGAAAGCAAGAAATCACCCCCCGGGGGGATGGCCACGCTGCAATCCCTTCTCCTCCATTCTCCTCTCGGGATCTTGCGCACGCATGCACACACACCCAGTGTGAGTTTAAGCCACCGGGCCAAGGACTCAAACTGTAGTCGACTACATGGAAGTCCAGCGATGTAGCCATTACGCCATCTGCTGGTCCCATCTAATATTTATCTCTTCCGACGTCCCCAGACACGTTCTTTTCTTCCTGAGTTCCCTAACCTTGGGGCCCCATGACCCCTCTTAGAATAGCCCTTTGGTCTTATCTGCCCCATCCAGGTTTCCTCCTCACCGTGGACACTAATGTCACTGCAGTCCCCAAGGTGGCTGTAAGTAGCAGAAAGCAGACCAGAAGCCAGATTCCCCCGAAGCCCCAGGCCACAGTGAGCACTGCATCCTCCAGAGCTTGGGGCCTTGCTCCAGGCCCCAGAGGCTGAACCAGACTGATGCTACTCACTAGCTGTCAAGTCGGAATCTGCATAACCCTCCTCCCACATCTCCGCCAATCCCAAGGAGGCCCAGTGCTGGGGGCTGCCAATCCACCTGCTCCATAGTGCTCCCCCACCCAGTGTCCCTTAGAATTTCCAGCCTCTCCTTTTTGACATAAGCCAGTTTTTAGAGTCACTGCCTCTACTCCCAGTCCTAAGATTAGGGAAACAGGTTGCAGGTAAGATGAATTGTACCTATCACGTAGATTTGTGTGTGTGAAAAATTAAATATAAACCGCTATAGAACAGTAGACATTTGATAACTTTATTTTTATTATCCTTCATGTTCACTTTCCTCTAGCCCTCCCCAAACCCTTTGTGTAGCAATCATATGGGTTCACCCTGCAAAATATATCACACAGATATCCGCTTTCTCCACGCCGATGCCATGACCCGTAAAAATCAACTATTCTTCTAAATCAGCTATTACAGTAACTAACTGATCTTTTGCTATCACCATGTACTTGTAGGCTAGTGTGTGAGCTTCCTAAACCTTAGAGTGGCATTTTGATATTATTTTGTTATAGACTAGACAGTTTGTGTTAATGGATGGCAGGGGCTCTGAATCACAGTATATATATTTCTTAAAGGGTGTTGAGTTCATTCTGACAAGCAATGAAATTTTGGGCAAAAGAATCTTCATCCTGGTACCCTAGTCCCTGATGGTGTAGCTAAGCAGACGTACCTGAGACTCATATAGGTTTGTTTGGCTCATGATTCCGTGGCTGAAAGGTCCAAGAGCACAGGCTGGCATCTGGCTGACCCTGGTGCTGGTTCACAACATGGCTGACAGAAGCAGGAAGATCCGCGGGCCAGAGAGAGCAAAATGCGAGCTGCACTTACTTTGGTAAGAACTCACTCTTGTGGGAACGAACCCCTTCCTGTGAGAGCGAGAACTCGCTCCCTTTCCCTAGACAACTCCAACTCCTCCAAGAGGGCAGAGCTATGGGCTGCACATTGCATGTGCCATACACTGCCCAGTAGGGTTCACCTCTTAAAGGACTTACCATCTCTCAATGCCATTACCTTGGGGACCAAATTCCAACACAAGAACCTTCCAAACCATAGCACCTGGTTAGGGCAGGAGTAGTTCAGTTCTGCTGTTGGTTCTTGGCTGAATCCCTTAGTCCTGGGTACTTACACTAAGGTGTGATTCTTTTGAGATTTCAATGGAAATGCCAAGGTGTGGGAGGCTGCACACCAGCGAATATTGCCGGTTTCTCAGAAAGCAAACAATTACACAATGCCAAAAGCCATGATTGGCTTCCCTTCAAAACCTGACCTTCAAAACCTTGCTCCGATTAGCCACTAGAATCCCTCAGATTTGCATATCCGGCACCTCATGATTGGTCCAAAAGCAACCAATCATAACCCACCGTTTACAACCAATCACGGCCCACCAGCGTGTATATAACCATGATGCCTGGCCCACAGTAGCCAGGCGACCAGGAAGAAGATGACGACCCTGGAGAGCCTGAAGAGCTGAAACACCGCACAGTCTCCACACGACCCTGAAGACCCTGAAGAGCTGTAACCTACATCATCTCTGGATGACCCTGAAGAGCTGTGACACCCCGTCGTCTCTGTGCTGCTCACAATAGACGACGCGACCCAGAAGAGTTGTAACTCTGCGTCGTCTCCGTGCCGTACCTTGCTGCCCACAATAAACAAATGACACTGAAGACACTGTGTCGTCTCCGTGCTGTAACACTACGCCGCTTGTCCCGGCTCTCACTCCTTCACTCAGGAAACCTGTTTGACTGCCCCCCCCCCCGGGTTGGGACACCAAGGTGTTTGCCAAACCCCTCTAATTTTATGAGGTTTGAATTCCAAATGTAATCTCTCAAACACTATGGCAGCTGTCAAAATCCTTATTCGGATAGGTGTATTTCCCAAGAAATATCATCATGCGTATCATCATCATGTACACGTGCCATTTAGAAGATAGGTAAGGAATTGAGGGGAAGTGCACGTGGATTTGGGGTTCTCTCCTTTGTATCTCACTCATTTCCAAGGTAGCTTCCTCAGTTTCCAGCTGCTCTGACATACCTGTATTCCAGACTCTGCTTCCTCACCACTAAGACTGCTACTTTCTTTTTGTGTGTTTTTGAAAGTTTATTGATTTATTTCCTCCATGAGCAAGAGAGACAGAGAAAGAGCTCCCCCAACAGGGTCTTGACACCACAGTCTTCCCCCCGCCTTAGCCAGCCCTGGTTAATGGCGCACACCTGGCATGTGCTTAGTGTATTCAGGGAGGTCTCCAGACATGAATCCAGAACTGTCCTCTGCGGGTCAGCTTCACAGATGGTTGTGCCTCACTGCTGCACCACCGCTGGGCCTGAGACCGCCACTTCCCAACAGAGCGCTATTTCTCTATGTCCCACAGGGAAGTGGGAAATATCTTTAGGGGAAAAGACTAACGTGGACCTCACCTAGCAGCCTTGTCCTTTGTCAAGGATTATCATTCCTCTAGCTTTTCTTGCTATCCACGCTTTTACTCATTATTATTATTATTATTTTGAGAGGTTTTTGTTATAGGGCAAATGCGCTCCCCGGAAAGACAGAGACAGAGAGACGGAAAGAGAGAAATCACCTCCCAGGAGGGTGGCCAAGCCACAGTCCCTTCTCCTCCATTCTCCTCTCAGGGTCTTGGGCACGTACGCACACAGACACGCCCAGCGTCACACAGTTATTTTTATGCCCTGTAGAGCATAGTTTCACTGTTAGCAGGAGGCTCTGACACGTGTTTTGTTATGCCACGAACTGGAGGTTTATCTGCTTATTGCTGTTGGACTGTTGGACATATTATTTTAAATAGTTCATAGAAATAATTAGAGCCCTAGGAGCAAATGAGTGTGGACTTACTTTGAGAAGTCTAGTGCTCCAGAAAAAAGAGACATACTGATTTGTGTGGGCCAAGCCAAAGTAGGTATGTTCTGCTCTTGTCTTTAGGATTTCAAACCACCAGGACTATCTATTGAAATTGTTATAAGTGTACATCGCATTGATATGGAACTTTTCTTTCTTATTCATTGGAGGGGGTTCTAATACGGAGTGTAATATTCTCAGAAGACCAAACATGTTTTCAGACCTATGGAACTTGTGGTTCATAGGGAGGACCTTCCTTCAAAGAGGATAAAAACTGAAAGATTGGAAGGTATAGAGACGCAGAGAGCAACCGTGGATAGTACAGACTGTGGGAGGAGGGTGGGAAATGGGGGAGAGTGAGAGGGAGGGAACCAAGGGGAAAAAGAAGGAAGCCAAACATGTAAGAGACACAAAAATGGAAAATTACTTGGTGATAACACATATGGTAATATCTTTGATTGAACCAATATACAGTGTATTCATCATGGGAAAATTAATTTAGTATACTGTAATGATATACAGTGATTGAATGTAAATAAATAAATAAATAAATAAATAACAATGGGGCCAGCAGGTGGCATGGTGGTTGGGGCACTGGATTCCCGTATGGCCAACTGTGGTTTCAGCCCTGGATCTGGTGGCTTGTTTTCTCCCTTTTGTCCTCTCTCTCTCCTTTCCTTACCTATAGCAAATTAAAAAATAAGTATATATATATA